CGCCCAGAAAGAAGAACACTTGTTTGATCCAATTACTGAGCGTGAGGTTTCTTGTGCAGATCGCTCCTGTGGGGCCCTGCGGCTGTAGAGCATCACAAAACCAGAAAAACGCTGGGAGCCTCTCTGTGGAAGCAGCCGAGCTCAGACGACGTGTTGGCGCTGCTGAAAGCCGACAAGATGGTGCAAACGGTTTTAAAGTTTCCACAGGAGCGCAGAATCATCCCCCAGGTACGTTCCTCAAATTGTGTTTGTTTTGTAAATGTACCATTTCGGAAAAGATTGCTGTGAAAGATGAGTTTCCGCCTAGCCAAAGTGGTCTTAGAATGTAATTTTTCTTTGTTTCTCATTCAGGATGGTACTGAGCAGCTGTATAGTAATGACGCCGTGAAGAACCTGGGGGATTTGTATGATCCGTGTTTCCTTTTGCCGCTTTTCAGTGCTATATTGCGACCAGGTGAGATGTTCTAATACGAGCCGTCGTTGAGAAAAATATGTCTAGCGAATCAAATCAACTTCATTTGTGAAGCAAATTTAAAACAATACGGTTAACCAATTTGAAGTACAATCAACCCTCTATATATTAAGAAAATTACTCTGAATATGTTTCATTCAGTGGAATCAGAATAATACGTATTAATGCAACTAGAAATTAAAAGTGCCGTGGTATTGAAAAATTTACAAACAGGGAAAATAATTGTTTTTTAAGCATAAAAGAAGATGCACACTTGACTGACAAAGGGAGACTGCTAAAAAAAGCTCTAACTACCTTTACTGACTAATCCAGAACAAAGAACTTCTGTCTATTCACGCAATGTAAGAACTCCATCATTAGAAAGACACAAAAAATATATATTCCAGGGCAATGTACAAATTTAAAAACAAGAAACAATTCTTTATTCAACCTTAAATAACAACCGTCAGGACTGTCTTCTGTATAACAATAACATATTTGACCAAATGTAAAATTTGATGAAAAGAAAGCAGCAGGAATGTATATATAATACTGGCTCCAACACAGATCCTTGAGAGACACCGGAAATTACAGAATACATTTCCCACATTAACAGAATGGGATCTGTCAGATGAATACAACATGGACGAAATGACATTAATGCAAAATCCAACCCTTCTTTTGGCTCCATGACAGAATGTGTTATTGACTGCTGTAAATTCGTGTCCTGCCACGCCCTTGGAGTAACCGTGATGGCTCTTAGTAGCTTTGATCCGAACGTGAGAGCCGCAGCATACCATGTACTGGCCTGTTTCTACCAACATCTGGAGGGCGCTCGGTTCAGAGAGAAGAGACAGGTATGTGGTGATGAACACCGTGTGGGTTTGGGAATGACCTCATAAATCGTGACGACTTTTTTTCTTTTTTCCAACAGCTGCTGTATTTGATGGACAGCCTCAAGAATGGAATCCCAAAGCAGAATCAGAAGCTTCCATTTGTCCTGGCTGTTTATATCAGCAAAGTGGCTCAGCAGATGCTCAGACCCGGTGTGTATCCCTGAACCTTTGGATTTAGTCCCTGACGGCTCTTGTTTGACCCTCGTTACTTCCTGAAACATCTGCTAGTGAAGTTAGCTCACGACTATTTCTTTAAGCTTATTTAATTTAATCCATTTGTTGCTTTTGCTGTTTAGGACTGATGCCATGCATTTCAGGATTACTGAACTTTACTTTCTGTCTCTGTGTTTCCTTAGAGGACCACATGTATGTGGTGTTCAACAGATTTCTGCTGTCACACCAAAGTTTAGACTTGAGAAGAGTTCCAGAGTTCTTCAAGCAGTTTTATGGTTTTGACCTGGAGGTAAATTATTCTGTTTTTTTTTTTTTTTGTTTTTTAAATCACCTTTATTTAATGGTGGATAAGAAATTGGATATTTCTGGAGTAAATAAAGGACTAAATAAACTTTTTCTGCATCAACAGCATGTAACCTTCGTATGTTTGTTTGTTCAGCTCAACCTTTTTTCAGTGGGATGTTATCTTTTTCTGGGGAAGGGTTAGGGCAGCTGTGGGAAAGGGTTGACTTACCCTTTTTTTTTTCCCCTCTAGCACAAAGTGGAGCGTGAGTGGATCCTGAATCTGCTGCAAGAAGGAATAAGTGATGGACATAGCTATAATCTCTGCAGCCATCAAAGTATCTTTCAGGTCCTTTTGGGTTTCAGCAGCAGCCCCCTGTGCAGTGAATACATCCAGGTATACACAGCTGCAGACGCAGTTATGTAACTATCATCATAAATAATGACCTTTTTTTGTTTACTTTTCATGATGTTTGATTATCTTAATACTTTGAACCATTAGGTAGTTGGGCAAACATTCCTGAAGATTATTGGCTCTGTAAAATGTAAAGAAATTATTTGATGTTGATATGTAAATCTTCACTTAGGTACAGATAATCAAGGTGTTGTGTCAGGCTGTCCATGTGCCAAAAGCGGTTTATGACCTCACCAAGAGCTGCGGACTCCTGAGCTGGATGATACAAGTAGTTGATAAGAAGTAGGTTATCATATTTCTGAATACTTTGGGGGATTAAACTGCATAATGAGTCTCAAAAGCTTTCACTCCCTCTGAAGTTTTTCTACTTGGAGCAATGTGAGAACCATTTAAGCTAATTTAATCTGTGTGGTAATAGCTGTTATTTGAAGGCCCAAGAGATTTTTTTTAAAGACCAACCAACAACCACAGCAGACAGGTCAGGGATTACGTTGCAGGGATGTTTTTGATCCGAAGCTCATGTTGGAAAATAAGCTATGGATCAAACAGGACAGCCATTATTGATGGGGAAGTAGAAAGCCATTGTTGAAAGAAATAGTAAGAAATTCTATTTGTAGTCTGCAACCTAATCCAATTGAGAATTTGTGACAAAACTTTAGTGAAAGAGTGATTAAATATGTAAATATTTAAGTGTGTACATTTCATGGAAATATATCTCAAAAGATGCAAACGGTGTGTTGACAAAATAATAATTCAGGGGCATAGTCAAAGCCTCACACATTTTCAGATTGTTGTTTGTAAAAGTTTTTGAGAATCCCTCTTGTTTTCTTTGTACATGTTGGTTGTAATATGTAAAAATGGGAAGGAGTTAAAGTGCTATGTATTCTTTATGGTCTGTTTCACATTTGCAACAATAATCTGTTCTTCTGTCCCCGCAGGACTCTGACCCAGCAGACAGTATCTGCGATCATTGATCTGCTTCATACTCTGTGGTTTACCAGCCTTGGGCAGAAGGAGAAGAAAGTTGGTGGAAATGGCGCCACCTTGTCCACTGAGGAGGAACCTCTGTGTTTAGTGAAATGTCTTCCACTCCCACTCATCAGTGAATTTCTCTGTGTGGCTGTGGCCATCAGCAGACACCTCAGGTAAAACTTCATACATAGCAAATACATTCAGCAGTGAAAGTGCAAGCTGTAGCATAAATACAGAGTGTCTTTTGGTCATGGATGCCAGTGTTTGTGTGACCTCTTCTTTGCAGGCTGGGTGTGAAGGCCGCTCAGTTGAGCCTGTTTGTGCAGACTCTTGGCTCTGTCCTCGTGCATCGGGGCAGCGCTCTCCATGTCAACAAACAAGCAGACCGACTCACCCTTCATCCGCAGCCGCTCTCCTCTACTGAAACACTCTCCCTGCTCTTCTGCTGGGCCTCCTTGTCCCACAACAGCATCATTCTAGCCCAAGTACAAGCCCTGTCTGAAAAGCACAAAATAAAGGAATTAATGGGTGAGTGCTGAAAAATGTAATGAGAAAAATGTAATGAAGGAAATCTAGACTGATTTCCTTCATTTTGGAAGGAAATCAGCCTCTATTTACCTCTATTTACACCTGAAATTAAATGTACTTTATCTGGATTTACCTGTGATAGATGAACACAAAATAGTGTATGATGATGAATTCTAGAGAGACATGATTTATTACTTTAGCCTTTTTCTAGTCATAAAATTTGAAAGTGTGGCAAGCATTTTTATTACCTGAGTCAGTTCTTTGTGCATACAGGCAACAGCTGTAAGTTACTGTTATGCCAGTCTTTGCACATAAAAAGAATAAAATTCTTGCCCATTGGTCTTTTCAAAGCTACCGTATTTAAATAGATGCTGAGTAAGACAGTTTTTTTAGCCTCTTAATTGATTTTCTTCCAAAATTGTCTTCTCATCATCTTTCACTAGAATCCTGTAGAAAAGTATCCTCATGATTCTGCAACTACCATGTATCTTTTTTTTTTACTATGTCCACTCAAAATGTGAAAAAGACTTTCGGGGTATGAAAGCAGCAGTGAACACTTGGTAGTCATTGTTTCATGCTGTGCCATTATGATTTATTTTAAATAAAAACTGAATGTTTTCCTTTATCTTCAGGCGTAGGGAAGCATAAGGTGCGAAGTAAGGGTCGCCTTACCTTCGAACGCACCCGAGATGGGACCGCTTCAGAGGACAGCAAGACTGTGGAACAAGAAGAGAGTCTTCTGACAGGCTGCAGAGTTCACCTAAGCAGCGTGTTTGTTTACTGGCAGCCTGTGCTTCAACTGTCAGAACCACCGTCAGCTCAGCCTGGAGGCAAACTGGATGCCAGGCAGCTGGCCTGCGATACCACGCACCTGCTTACAAAATGGTCCCTGAGGTGGCTGGTAGAGGACGGGTATGACGAAAACAGAACAAAGGACTTCCTGACCTGGCTTGAAAAAGCCGTGATCAAACACAGGGAAATTGTGGATGTTTTGATGCTCGATCCTGGCGTGAAAGCTGACCTCCTTCAGCTCTTCCATGACACGTTTGAAGCTCCAAGTCGCGCCAGCACGGAAACCTGCCAGTTCTTCACCAACATTATGATCCGCTTATTAGAGATGCGAGGCCAGCTTCCGGAGCTCCATCGGGTCATTGTCTCTGCCTGCATGACTGATCAGGACCCGTCTAGACATGGTGAGAACAGCTTATTCTGAGACGGTCCATAATTTAAATGAGAGCAGTGAAGTTGGTGTCTAAAAAGTAATAAACTACTGTAAATAACATTTTTTTGCAGCAACTTATCATCACATATACCTAGTGTTTATTAGCTGCTTAAAAATGAACAGTACGGTAAATATTTTGCCTGCCTTCAATGTGTGAAAGACAAAAGAAAATGCAATTCAGGGAAATAAGTTGTGTGTTGATCTTTCACGAAATGGCTCAAGAATTTTTCATATATAGTACAGGTATTTATTGATTTACTTTCAGTTTAAGTTTCATTGATTCAAACTGTTACACAACGGCATGTAAAATGGACCTCAACAGATACAACAGAAGCTAAGCGAATTTTCCTGCTCTAAAAGACAAAAATCGGTACATATGTATATATTTTTTACCTTTGTCACATTGAGATCCAAGATCTCATTTACAAGATAGACCTGTTTTTTATAAAGCAAACAAGCAGAAAAATTACAAACACAGCAACAAAACCAGTAGTTAGAAAATTTGACTCGATTAAGCAAGCTACTCTTTTGTAATGAGTTGGGGTTTTACAAGCTGTTTTCTTCTTTGCAGAACCAGGACTGTTTTTGTTGTCTTTGTACATCCATGAGCTCTTGAGTGGATCATCTTCAGCAGACCTGTTCCTGTCCCACGTCACCTTGGTGACCAGAGCCCAGCGCAAAAGACAAAAAGGGTCCAAATCAACAAGGATCCAAACAGCCATCGGAGCCATCTGTAGTGAAATAATTGAGATGAAAAGTTAATCAGATGCTTGAAAATGTCTCTGTTTATTTTCAAACCCTTACAGTTTGGCAGACTTTAATTTTTGCTTTTATTTATTTTTTTTAGTTTTTTATCTGTTTAGTTGTTTATTTCCCTCTTTGCAGACTTTTATTTGTAATATGTATATGCAAACTACTAATCTTTTATCTACAATAAAATAGACAATCTGACCATTTTCTATTATTTTTGGAATAATTGTCATGTACACACACTGCCATGTAATGCTTATATAACATCTGTGTAAACAACAGCCTTGTACTTTGTAAGTAATAGGACAGGAACCATTAATCATTCGCATGTTTTTCCTTCACTGCTAAACACATAGTAATTTTAAAGTGTGCCATTTTTAAAAAATAAATTAGTATTTGCCAACAAGTTTTACTACTAACCTCCAGTATCAGCCAGTGGCGAAGCAGCTGAGGTTTTGTGGTGACGCTTGATTTTAGATTTGTTTATCCTGGAGTGAGCATAATAGCACATTTTAGCACACATATGTACGTAGAACAGATCAATTTTGCATAATGTATTTGGGTGAAAAACCTTTACTCAAATCCACTGTTCCAATAGATGTACTATACTTACTTTGGCAACTCCACACTGAGAGACATTAGGTTCAAAATGAGAAAGAGAAATCCCACAAAAGTAGCCAGAGATACCCAGAGTATTATGACAATTGAGTCTGAAAAGAAAGGAGGACATTGTTATTGTTTAATAATTTTTTTTACAAGGATAAGGGGGAAAAGAAGTCAGGAGTTAATAAAAACTTACATTTATGGTATTTCAGCTGGCTCTCATCCACAAAAACAGGATCCAGATAATCCAAGTAGTACTCCCATTCATACAGAGGAGCACTGGTGGAGTTTCCGGGAACAACAACAGTGTCATTTTTGGAGAAATAGCTTGCTGTTCTGTTTCTAGAGAGAAGAGCCGAAGTCGATCCAAACATTGTAAAAACAAAAGAACCAGAAGAAAAATGTTTAACCTATGCAACCCAGGAATTATTCCAACTCGTGTGTTTGAGTGGTCTTCAGTTCATTCTTCTGGCAGGCTTGAGTACAGAGCACGACTGGAGGTGCGTGTAGTACTTAAAATTTGACACATGAGGGGGTATGAGTGGTTCGGTGGGGAAAATGTTTAATTAATTAGCTGTAAAGGGTAATGAGTCTCATCTTAATACATATCCTTAATTATACATACAATAAAAACATATCAAAAGATTTAATGAATTTGCTAATGTTATGTTTTACATCTTTGAAAGTCTCTTTTAGTATTTAACGCTAGTTTTAAATATTCACGCTCCACATCACCCCTCTATTTTGTCATCCAACATACTTTGAAGTGAGTTTACTTTTTTTATTTAAAATGAGTGTAAAGACAGTTTAACAAATTTGCCTGAGACATGATTAGTTGCTGTCAGGTGCATCGTTTTTCCAACAGTACTGAAGGCACCACTACCTTGTGACATCACACTTTATCGTAAATCAACACATGATAGAACTCAGCAGTGTTTGGAGTTATTCTCATATTGTGCAATTACAAAATTACTAATGTTCCCGTTAATTTACTGAGTTTTCACACAAAAAAACCCCTCAAAGAATAAATACTAATTTATAAACACAACTTCTGTCCTTCACCGGTAAACGACATCTGGAATGAAAGGAATATATTATATAAAAACATATATTGTCTCAGTAGAGAAATTCAAGTGTAACATTTCCTTACGAAATGTGAAGTCAGCATTGACATAAACCGCGCCTTTTTTTCTCTGCTACATTTGAAACAAACTCCAATCTTTTTTTGGCAATTCACATACAGCAAAACTGTTGTGATATTTCCAGACTTATTCGCTTCAGATATCGGAGGTAACGACTGTCAAGCTTCTGACGCCCAAACAGGAGGGGGAGCAAGGTAGCAAATGTCAAAACATTCATACCGTATTTCTATACCTTCTTTTCTAACCTACACTCTTTGATAAAACTCTGTAAATCTTACTAACAGGCCATCTGTTATTACCTTAATCGGAATTTGCTCTTTTCGAGGGCCACCTAAGATTAAAATTTAGTTTCTTAAAAAATATTTTCACTCCAGAAAGGTTGTAGTTCCCATTTCGTATTTCCGCTTCCTGTGGAGCTCCGCTAGATACATTTCTGCACCTTAACTCTTGTACAGGGTGGTATTCCTAGCTTTTAGCTTAGCCTCTCCTGAATTCGGATTCTAGGAAGCCACTTGACACAATTCTTTGTAATATTTTTGGCTACACAACTTTATATAATCGTTTGTAGTTAGTTTAGTTCAATGAATGTGTGAGTCGAACTGTTTGCATTAATAACAAGCCGTAATGGATGCCGTGAACGCGTTCAACACGGAGGTAAGTTTTTACTCCCATAGCTAAACCGTTGAGCTAAGCTAACTAATATCCGTTCTTTTAGTTTACTCGGTGAGATCTATAGTTGCCCTGCCATAGGAATATAACCCGTTAACCCACATTTTTAATGTAATCGATATTTTTAAGATTCACGTCATTTATTTGTCTGTAACCTAGTTTTAATGTTTGGATACTGTTATTAAGGCCAATAATATTGGGCTACAGATAATAACAAACTCCTACACAGACTTAATGCGAATGTTCAGAAAACGACTGCCTTCTAAATACAGTTGGTAGTAGTACCTCGCGTACATTAGTGCTATTTAATAAGAAATTGTAAGATTTGTTTAGTGGCGAATAGTTAAATCGCTATCTCGCTTTTATTTATTGTAGTTTTGATATTTCTTGTTACGAAATTATTCCAAACATATAATTTGTTTGTCGTGCAAAGATCGCATGTGTGAATACAATAGAACTTCTTATAAGCATACATTTTTATGCGCTGTTTAAGAAGGTATGTAAACACGCGCGTCTGGCGCCTTTTCCACCAAACTGGTTTTAGTCTGTTGCTGAAGCTTACATAACCACACTTCTTTGCGTGTCTATCGATACAAAAGCCTCAATATTGTCCCTAGATCCATAAATACTGTTTCTGACTGTTTTTTTTTTAACATTGTTTTAATGTTCCCACGGTGGTGTTAATAAATCTTGCGCTAGAAGCTTTGTTTTAACTTCAGCTTTCTAGCGCTGGTGGTGCTGATAAGAGATCAGCTGATCAGGATTGTAAACGTGCAGAAGCAACGATCGTTGTATAGAAACAGTGTTAATAAATCAATATTGGGGTATAATATAATTATATCATCTATTTCCTGGAATACTGGAGTAAAAATAATATTACTCCTAAGGGTTCACTTATTTTCTGCACTTACATACTTCAACAAAAACACTAAAAAAAAACATTGAGAATACTTACATTGTAAGTAAATACAACTTTATTTATACATGTGAAAGACATTTCTTTGTAAAAGTCACATACTGCAGCTTTAAAGATGACCAGCAGCTCCATATTCTGGATGGCAGCCAAACTACAGCACTAAAAGAAGGTTTAAGTGGATGTTTTTAGTTATTCGATTGGAACTAATCTAACAAACCTTTAATCTGCACAGTGATGCGGTTGATTGTGCTGTTGCTTAAGGTTTGAATCCTGGCAGAAGGTTTTACTGTATGGAGTTTGCATGTTCTCCCCGTGAATGCTCCGGCTAAATTTTCATTAGTTTGTGCTGTTTGTCTCTGTTTTGCCCTGTGATGGGCTGGCAAGTGGTGTACCCCGTTGACCGCTGGAGATAGGAACTAGCCCTTTTGAGACCCTGCAAGGATAAGGATGTTGGATAATGGCTGGATGGATGACACCATTAATCAATATTTAATATTAAGCTAATTAACTGTTTGCATTCCTAATCTAATCTCTTTTATTCATCCAGTTGTTCGCTATGATCGAGATGAAGCCTCCAATATCCCGGGCTAAAATGATGTCCGTTACCAAATCAGCTATTAAAGCCATTAAGGTAAATGTGTATAAAATATTCATGAAGGAAAAAAAAACTGCTTACTATGATATGGTGTACATAGTATATAATGTAATATTTACATACTTTTATCTGGTACTGATTTCTATTTCTTTTATTCAGTTGTACAAACATGTTGTCCAGATTGTTGAAAAGTTCATCAAAAAGGTATGTATATTTGTCTGTTTTTTTGGTTGTTTTTCCTGAACTTCCTTTTTGTTTTTATTAGAAACGCCCCTAAACATATACTTATCTATGAGATAACAAATATGCTATAGAGGCGTGGTTGACATAAAATATTTATTAAAGACAGAAAAACAAAAAAGTAGTTTAGTTTCAGATGGAATGTGCATTCACTCCATATTGAACAAACACAGTAAAATGCTTCCTTTTGCTTTCAGACTACAAAATAGGTTCTTAATTTTAAGCTTTATCTTGAGAACATTTGAAAATGTATTTTTTTTTCTTTCTCGTTTTCTTTCTTTTTAGTGCAAGCCAGAATTGAAGGTTCCTGGTCTATATGTGGTTGATTCCATTGTCCGGCAGTCACGCCATCAGTTTGGTGTTGAAAAGGATGTTTTTGGACCCCGGTTTTTAAAGAACTTCACAGATACTTTCCGAAACCTTTACTGCTGTCCAGAGGATGACAAGGTACTATTTGTACTTTTAATGTTCTTATGTAACATGATTCAGATATTTATAAAACGCCAATGTTTGAATTTTTTTTTTTTTTTTTTTTTTTTTTTTTCAGAATAAAATTATCCGAGTTCTAAATCTCTGGCAGAAGAATGGTGTGTTTGATATGGAGATCCTTCAGCCTCTAATGGAAATGGCCAATGGCACTGTTGTGCCACATTCTGCTGCAGAAGGTAATGAAGTGTTAAAACATTGTAACACACATAAATGTACTTAAAAGAAATGTAGTGTCTTTCATACTTTAGTGAGTAATTTCTTTTGCTAAATAATTTATTATTCCTGTTCTGATCAGTTCCTGTTGACCTCCAACCAGAGACTCTGACCGGTAATGCTTCTGTTCTACCCACTCCAGAAGCTTTAGCTGCTGTGGCACAACTCTTCCAGTCCTCTCACGCTCAGGAGGTAAGTGATAAACTGTTTTAGATCTCCATCAAATGAGCCAAGATTTTGTTTAGTAACATTTCATTTTGATCACCAGCTGCAGAGGATGCTCCAGAACTTTCAGCAGGCTGAAAGGACAGTCGGAACATCTACAATTACAAATAACATAACAAACCAACATCAAATGCCAGTAACCCAACCCTACCCAAGGACTGATACTGTGAAGAAAGGTTCTTTAGCTGAGGTATTGATAACTCTCTGTGTCTCAAATGTTTTTGAAATTCAGTTCTGTCATTTACACTTTTATGTTTTTGTTTTTTGTTTTTGTCAGAAACTACTTGACCGATTTGACTATGATGATGAACCTGAGGATATGGCAGTGTCAGAAGGCAACATTCAGACACAGTGAGTGCTAAGGACAAAATTGTGAGGCAAAAAAACATCAAAGTTAAAGACGAAAATTGTTAGTTTATTTAAATTTCTACAAATTTAGCTTTTTGTCTATTCAGTTAACGACTGTTTTGAAAGCCGACATTCTGGGATTATTTGTTCAATTTTGCATAATTTCTGGCGCTTTTTGTAGAGCCATTTAAGGATCTAAACTGCAAAACATGAAATAAGCACAGTGACAAGGTTTTATTTTTTAACAGTTTTTAATTTTTTTTTCTTTATTGTTTTGGCCTGTGAGTTAGTTTAATTATTAATAATGCTCATTTGAAGCTAAAAGATTCGGATGCAAAAATAATAACGCTGTTTTTAATAGTATCCTACTGCCAGCAAAGCTTTTTTTTTTTTTGTTTTTGTTCAGAAGATATATATCTTCTGGACAAAATATTTAAACAGTAACCCTAATGGTAGGAAGGGTGACAAAGCCGGCCTATTGCCCCCCCCCCCCCCCCCATTGACTCGTGTTAACTGGCAGGTCCAGTATTTATCTGTCTATTTGTAGAAACAAAAAATATAGGTGAAAGTAAAAATATAAACAAAAAATGCAAAATTAAACAAAAAACTATACTAAAAATGCACTTCTTCAGAGAACATGGTCTTCCATAAGAAAATCTCTACCAGAGCTATAAGTCTTTATGAACGATTTTTGCCATTCAAAATTTTGACGTCTCAATATTCCTTAAAATTATATTACAAAAGTTATAATTTTATTTTCTGCTTTACAAAGAATGAGGTTTCATGTGGGAAAACAAGCTTGGCATCTCAGATTTAAGATAATTTGAAAATAAAACTGCAGTAAGGGAACAAGCTCAAATTATCTTCGGTAAGTTAATGATCGCTTAGCTCAACAGGATTAGTTTGAGATTCTTGAGATAATTTTGCAGAATTCTCAGTTCACAACCAGTTTGCGATCTTGTCATCTTTACGTAGTTGGAGAACTGGCTCATAGATAGTTTTAGCTAATACAGATGGCCACTGGGTGTTTAAATGATTGAATTTAAGCCCACCATCCAGTTTTCATGACTATTGTTTTATATGCAGTTTTGGAGCTTTTTCCACAATTAAAATTACATATTAAATACTATATTTAAATGTTAAAAACATTTTTGCAGTTGAATGAGTTACTGATTGTGAAAAGGTCTGGAATTTTAATGTCATTGTACGTTCATTGTATGTTAGTGTGCTTACGTGTTAATGTGTGTTTTTGTCCTGACAGAGGTATACCTGAAAACATGTCAAACCAGTTCCCCGTTCAGATGCTAAACACAGATGCTCACCCTGATATGTTGGGTCGGACTAGAGACACAAAGGTAAATTTGTTAAAAACAGAAAATATAAATTATTTTCAGAATTATAACTTATTTCAAATTTGTCGATATTTTACAGCAGTGTTGTGTGTTTGTGGGCATTTTACTTAATTTGTGTTTTTTATCTCTTTGTTTCTCAGCATAGTGGAGGAATGAGTCATGTTGAACAAAATTTGACTCCCGATGGATTTAATTCTGTGAAAGAGTCTGAATCATGGGTAAGCTCGCCAACTTTAAGACCTTATGTTTAGTTGAAACGATACAACTGATTATTCTTTAAGTAAAATTTGTAATAATTAGCCTTTTTAAATAGGGAAAATGTTTTTTCAAAATGTCTTTGTTGTCTGTGTCTAACAGGAAAACTCAAGAGAAAATTCTTCCATGAGGCAGGAGGGGAGAGACAGAGACTATGGTGCGAGGTCCAGATCTTCTTCTAGGTAATGACTGTTCGTCACTTACAAATGTACAAATTATAGATTTTTTAGCGGTTTTGAGGTCAACTTTAGCCAATGACGGTCTTTATTGTACTAAATTTGCTGTGATAAGCTGTAATATTATCAGCTCAGCTCTCAGTAATAAAGCAAAAAGCAATTTTCAAAGGTTCATGTTGCAATAAGAAATGGCTTTATTAAAAGGTGTGCAAATATTTGATTGGTCAAATGTTTTTCTGTTGCTGATACCACAAGAAGGGAGTGATCTTAAGGTTATTTGAAATCAGTGAAGAAGACCATATTAAGACTCAGTTTACTCAGCAAGGCTTCACTTAAAAGCTGACAGGCACTGACCTTTGAGATGAATGTTGAGTCAAGGTGTTTCAAAGAGGCTTTTATAGATGCTACTGCTGCATTTTGCAATAACTTGAGTAATTTTACTGTTGTAACTGTTCTGATCTACCCACAACTGTTGTACTGTTGTGGGTAGATCTGTATCGAAAGGATCTCTAGTCTAGTCATACTGAGTCATTCTGTTTTGCTGGGAGTAGTTCTGTTTGGTAATTGTTTACCTGGTATTCATGCTTAAAGAGAGGTATTATGGAATTTTGACTTTTTCTGAGCTTATTGTCATGTTATGATGTCATTCCCTCATCAAAAAAACATACCTGGACCATTGCTTTGACACATTGATACATGTTTAAGAAATCTTTGAATCTCCCGTGCCAGCCATTTTGGGGTGCCTTAATGCTTTCTCATACTATGCACCGCCTATTTCCCAAAGCTCTGCCTTTGAGCTTCAGACTAGTGGCAGCAGCAATTCGCAAACACCTGGTGAGCTCATCGTGCAAACTACTTCTCAGTCCAATGCTCTTAAAAGCCTGGAAAACGCATAAAACCCTTCCTTTAAGCATGTTCTCAGTTCATGCAAATATTGATTCAGTCTGTGTTCCAAGGGATTCACTGATAGGTTTAAATATCTGCAAAGCTGTTGCTCAGTTTGCAGCAGAAACAAAGTTTCTACACAACATGTAAATACATTATCTAGTAGGGAAAGTTAATATAAAAGCTAAGCTTGTGACTGCTGGTGATTTATTGAACTTAATATAATTCTGAAATCTGACATTCCATTTTGAGTCTGAATCTAAAATATATATTTTTTTAGCGTATTGGAAACAAATAAATTGCAACATAATTTTAACATGCCGGTGAAGGTTCTTGGATAGAGGCAACTGGACTTCTCGTTATGCTTATTCGGTTCTGAGAAGAGTAACACCAACTTGTTATCTCTCTGACACAACTGAGTTTTAAACACTGCATAATGACTCCTGGGATAGTTTCAGTGACCTTGGAGGTAAAAAAAAAAAAAAAAAAAAAAAGAGTAAGTACTTGGTGAGTTTCTCCCATGCATCTCTAAACTGCACACTTAGCCCTAGGGGTGAATAACTGTGATTCAAGTTTGCCTGTGATTTTGAAGAAGTTGAGGTACAAGACCAGTGGAGTGCCTGAAATGTGTCCTTTTAAAAAATTATTAGTTTGGTTTTTGGCCTGTATGGGAAAAAAATCAGACACCTGACACATTGTTCAAGACTTTTATAATTGATGTTGAAAGTATGTTATAATACTAAATATTTTGGAGATTTTCGGCAGGGGCGCTACAGCTTATTGTGGATGCAGATATAGCAATAGTAGTGCATGACTTGAATTTAAATGTATTGGCTACCAAATATTATATTTACAGACAGTGCAGGATGAAATAAATTTAAAACAGGTATTTTATTCATCCTTGAGAGGATTTAGACATACAGATCCCATTTGTCTTGGTGGTTATAGTTGTACCAAATGGGCATCACATCCTTGGCTCATGACCAAAGTAGGATTTTAGCAGTCTTTAGTAAATATGATGCCTAAATTCCCCTAAAAATGATTTTTTTATACACATATCTAAAATAGTCCCAAAAGAAATGCCTCCATTAATTAAATCAGAATCAAATGACTCAAATTCTTGGGCTACATTTTCCTTAAACTTTTTTTCTTTTTTTTTTTTCTTTTTTTAAGTTGAAACATTTTAAAAATATATTTTGACATTACATTGATATTTTTTGAAGACTGACATTTCTTTTTAAAATGTTTTTTTTTTATTGATCTTGTGCAAAATTAAAATATTATGGTCCAAAAAAACAGAGTTTTTATCAAAATCAAGGCTTTAAATATTTAACTCCACATAAAAAATCTAAAGGTTTTCACTTTATGAAAAAGCTCTAAACATTAAAGATGTCCCAAGATAACATGACTTCTTCTTTAGTGAGACAACCATTTTGTTTACTAACATCTCGACTAGGAGAATTACTTCAGGTTCCACTGTCTGACTGAGGGCTATTATGCAGAAGTGATGTATTGTGTCCGAACCAAAACGTTATGGCAGCATAAACACTTTTAAACCAAGTTACTCACTTGAAACAATATATTAGGCTGAATATAAACTTCACAGATACTAGAGAAAAATCAACAGACTTTGGAACCAGCTCAAAAAATAAAAATAAACAAAGTTGGAGGAATCTCCATTTACGAGAAGGTATTTTCACAGCAGTAGCGCCCCCTGCATTCAGGCAAGTGCAGCTAGTACACTGGGTTATCAAAATATCTAAACAACTCTAATGTGATTTGATCATGTTTTATTCTCACATATGGGTACAGTCTTTAAAATTTCTAAAACTCACTATGAGCAATATGATGGTGGTCTGTATAGCAGAAAGAAATTATGGTAAACAGGTTTTACATGAATAACTATGGCTTCTAAGTTATCACAGCACACACAAGAGCTTTCAGTTCTAAACATGTTTGGACACAACAATCACAGTAATTGGGCCAATAAAGTCACTAAGGAGGCAATTAAGACTCTAGTCATTGCAATGTTTGGTTGTTGCCTGATTATCCAAACAGGTCCTTAATGATGCCATCTGAGTTGTTTTGGTAACATTTTCCAAGGTTGTGAATTGCTTAAAACTGGAATTCACAACCTGAGATGAGACGGGGCTGCAGACTCACCGTTGGAAAGATTCAATCTAAGGCCACCTCCTATGTTTAGTTTTATTTTTTTCATGCTAAACTTAAATTGCTTTTTTCACTTCTATCAAACCACCTGTGTTCCCTATCCAAAATGTTTACATTGCTGTCCTCCATTTGTCGCTTGTCTTTGAGATGTAGCTGAATTGCTGTTTCTTGAACCAATATTTGCTCTTCTGTGTTGGGAAGTCCATTTGTTTAGCTGCTATTTAGTTTCTCCAGTGTAGAACTCTGAACAGTTCATGCTGCGCTGGGCTGCATATAACACTGCTGAGCTTTGTGTTTGGGTGTTTTATGCTTATAATAAACTAGTCTCTACCTGCAGGTTTTATGTTTACAATTCAGTTTAATATTCAGGTGGGAGGTCACATGTCACACTTAAAGTTTGCTTTAAATACTTTGCCATCTATTGATTTTAATTAAAAGAAAGGAAAAACAGACCCAGGCGTCTGTGCAGTCAGAGAGCTACCATTAATAAGGCTTCACTACAACTAGCCAATCAGACTGTACACCTGGCATGTAACTCAGAGCCAGCAGAAAGGAGGAGAGAGTGGAAGAATAAGCTATTTACCCATAAATACAAGAATTTACTAAAAATAAACAATTATTCCACACATTGATATTCTTGTACGAATAAATCAATTTGACACTACTCTAATTTTCTGAGACATCGAATTTTGGGTTTCCATGATCTTTTAGCCATAATCATCAAAACTGCACAAAACAAAGGCTTGGAATGTATCTCTATAGGCCCTGCGATGGACTGGCGACATGTCCAGGTTGTACATCACCTCTCACCTGCTGACTGCTGGAGATAGGTGGCCCCACTAGGGATGAGGATACAAGATGATGTGGATGTATTTCTGTTTGTGTGGTGATTATATTTTTCATTTTGAGATGACTGGCAAAAAATATTTCCACAACATTGTCATTCTTTAGCTGTACTAGTATATGAAGAATACAAGCCATTCATATAAACATGCAGATTTATTATTTCAACAAACCATACATGTCCTGGGATATGAATGTGCAAGATAAGTGTACAAAGCCAGGAAAGATGTCCACTGACTTAAAAAGGTAATGCAATTGTATAAACATGCACTGAAAAGACTGCAAATAAACCTTCATCTGTGACTTTATGACTAAGGTTCTACTGAAGTATTGCACCCTGCCTTGGTCTTTTAGGACCACTGACCCATGTTACACTCCTGCTGAGAGTAAGGATGTTTTATACTGCTATATGCTGCAGCCTGGCTTTAAAGGAGCTTTTAATTGCACCCACCATGAATTACGTTGGGTTTCATCAAGACTAATCTAAGCTTTTATGGCATCCTTCTGTCTCTCTACAGCTGTAATGTGTTATGAAGGGTCTTCTAAACACAGAGCCTTTTTAATGAGTTTGAGTTTTTTCCACTGTTGAGTCATCATCAAATTCTGCTTACAAGTACATCCTGACTTAAGAGATTCTACATCAGTGCGAGCTCAACTGTCAGGATTTGTTCTGTTGCCACTAATCAGATAATGATGAAAAGGGTCAATTTTCATTTGAGAAACGTATTTTTCTGTTGCACCTAAGCTGTGTCTTTTATTTGTACCTTAGGTCGCCAAGGAGAAGAAGATCGAGGTCTTCATCTCGCTCAAGGTGGTCAAGGCACAGACGCTCTCGCTCCAGAGAACACCGCTGGAGATCTCGTACGAGTTCAGAGGACCAGAGTGACAGAGAGAAGGACAGAGAACGCAGACAGAAAGGTCTTCCCAGCTTAAAGGGCCAAACTCTCAGCGGTATGTACCAATACAGAAAAAGTCACTGAGTAATATATTGTACAGCATTAAGTTAAACACAAATGTGCCACATGTGGTCGTAGCATTAGAAGTACCGGATTATAAGGCGCACCTTCAATGAATGGCTTCTTTTAAAACTTTTTTTTCATATATAAGGCGCACCGCATCATAAGGCTCATAGAATAGACGCTATGGTTAGGGTTGCCACCCGTCCCGTATTGAACCTATATAGGACGCGATTTGTTCCATTCTCTACAGAAGTGGTCCCCGAGTACTTTATATAGTAGGCTGCCCCTGTCATTGTTTCACTCATGGTGTTGGTGTTGCGATATTGTGCCCAACTGCTTTCTGGGTAACACAGACCAACCGACATGCTGCCGCCGCAGTCTCTGTCTCTCCCCCCCCCCCCCTTTTTTTTTTTTTTTTTTGTTTGATACTTTCCTTT